TGCTTCTCAGTCCGAGTGTGGTGAGAAGTGAAAGTCGTCTTTGCCTGAAGAGTGGCCTCCTTGAGCCGCCCCCATGGGACCACTTCCTCCAGGAAGGTGGCCCAGATAGCACCCTGACCCTAGGCACCGCCCCTGGCCTCCTAGGTGCCGAATTGAGGCCTTCCTGCTGGACAGGAGGACGTGGCTGGTTGCTGTCTTTGTGTGTGCGGGATAGGCTGATCTGGGGAAGGAGCAGAGCATTCCAGCAACCACTGAGGCCCCAGGGAGGCAGTGCCATGCGGACTGGGAGGGACAAGGGGCACTTACTGGGCCGGGAGAGCTGGCTGCACCTGGCAGTGAGGACACGTGGGGGGGTGTGGCGCCCCTGCCCCTGCTCTGCCCCAGTGGAGCGTCCAGTGGGGAGATGGCGGGGGGAGGTCGGGTGTTATCCTGCTGTCCACTTTCCTGAGAACTTCGTGCCTCTGTGGATGCCCCCTCTGCCCTCCTCTCCTGGCTTCTCCATCCTCCTCACCCTCCGGCCCCAGAGCTCTGCACTCTCCCGCTTCTGCCAGACCTTCGTAAACCGTCCCTCATGGAGCTGTCCACACGCTGGCCACCCCGTCCCCTTGCGGTGCTGCTGGTTTCCCGCCATGATGAACCCAGCAGCGGCTCCCGGGCAAGCTGCCCTCCGAGCCTGGGCCTGGACTCCACAGTCCGTCTGACTTCACAGCAGCTAGACCCTCACATCTCCAGTTCATCAGCCTCTGCCCCACAGAGCCTGCTGTGTGCCTGAACCTCAGTATCTTCTTCTGTGAATGGCAGTAACAGCAGCACTCGGGGCTGGCTCCCCAACATGGAGCCCCCCAACACCACGCAGTCAACAAAAGGGAAAACAGGAGGTGGAAGGTGAGGTCTGAGGGTGCTGGGGCCCTTGGCAGGATGGCTGTGACGGCACGGTGCTCACAGATGCAGGTCTGACGGCCTCAGATGTCAGACGTCCTGTCACGCACACACTGACCTCCCTGCCTCTGTCCGGAGCCCTTGGACACCCGGGCTAAGCAGTGCATGATTGCCGGCTCCATAGCCCAGCAAACACTGGCCGGTGGTTGGAGGAGGATTGAGGCTGAGGCCGCTGAGCTGCTCATGTCCGCTGTCCCCTCCCACCACACCCCCATGGCGGGTGCCTCCCATAACCCGGCTGCCTGCAGCCTCTCCAGCCCCACCCTGAGTTCCGCCACCTGGAGTGCAGAGGGGTGGCCCAAGGTCTGGCCTGGAGTGGGCTGGGCCTGAGGAGAAGGAGGCAGAGGAAGATTTGGGAGGGAGGAGAAGGCCTTGGGAAGACAGAAGCAGAGGCTGTGGCACGGGGGCCAGAGCCCAGGAACACCTGGGGCCACTGGGATCTGGGGGAGGCGGCTCTTGGACGCCTCAGTTTTGCACTTCTGGCCTGTGGTGCTGTGAGAGGAGAAGCCTCTGTGGCTCTGAGCCCCAACCCAGCTCATGGCCTGTCCTTACTGCAGCCCCAGGTGAGAGAAACACCAGGAGGGGCACTCCAGACCTGGAACATTCCAGACCCAGAACATTCCAGACCCAGAACATTCCAGACCCAGGACATTCCAGACCCAGGACATTCCAGACCCAGAACATTCGAAACCCAGAACATTCCAGACCCAGAATCTTCCAGACCCAGGACATTCCAGACCCAGAACCTTCCAGACCCAGAACATTCGAAAGCCAGGACATTCCAGACCCAGAATCTTCCAGACCCAGGACATTCCAGACCCAGAACCTTCCAGACCCAGAACATTCCAGACCCAGAACCTTCCAGACCCAGAACCTTCCAGACCCAGGACATTCCAGACCCAGAACCTTCCAGACCCAGAACCTTCCAGACCCAGAACATTCGAAACCCAGAACCTTCCAGACCCAGAACATTCGAAACCCAGAACATTCCAGACCCAGAACATTCGAAACCCAGAACCTTCCAAACCCAGAAGCTTCCAGACCCAGACCCAGAACCTTCCAAACCCAGAACCTTCCAGATCCAGGACATTCCAGACCCAGGACATTCGAAACCCAGAACATTCCAGATCCAGGACATTCAAAACCCAGAACCTTCCAAACCCAGAACATTCGAAACCCAGAACATTCCAGACCCAGAATATTCGAATCCCAGAACATTCGAAACCCAGAACATTCCAGATCCAGGATATTCGAAACCCAGAACCTTCCAGACACAGAACCTTCCAGACCCAGGACATTCCAGACCCAGAACATTCGAAACCCAGAACCTTCCAGACCCAGAACCTTCCAGACCCAGAATATTCCAGACCCAGACCCAGAACCTTCCAGACCCAGGACATTCCAGACCCAGAACCTTCCAGACCCAGAACCTTCCAGACCCAGAGCACTCCATAGGGCAGCTGGGCCCGGAAGGCCACTTGAGGAGGAGGATGGAGCAAGGGTGAGTGGCGCTGAATCCCAGTCCCAGGGCCAGGTGGGGTGGAGGAACCCAGGCTGGCCGCATGCTCTGGATGTGACCCCAGTGCTAGGTGGCCCAAGTATGGGCTGTGGCCAGGGCTCAGGCTTCCTGCATGAACGGCGCCTCCACAGCATCCAAATCTGCCCAGTTCCCATGACGCCCGCCCGCCTTGCCCGGTCCCCACGACACCTGCACACTCCAGGGGTTCTGGACCCCTCTGCTGATGGCACTCGGCACCTCCCCCCCTGCACTTACGCCGAAACCTGCCACCTAGACCTCACGTCGCCCTCTAAGGTGATACCAGGCAAGCCTGACTCAGTTTCTCCCCCAGGGAGGCCCCAGCACATGGCACTGAACCTTCTCTGCCTAGCCTACACTCACCAAGTGCATTTCAACGTCTCTGTCCCTGGCAGCCTCCTGGGGTGACCTGGTTCCAACCGCGTCTCCTGGGGCGGTCAGGTCCTCATTCTGACTTCGTCTGCAAAGCGGGCTTGCGGGGACAAGGCGGTGAGAGCCTGCACAGCTCTGAGCACACACAGCGGGTGCGTCGAAAACCCAGGGCAGCAAACACGCCTAAGGGCTTCCGGCTGCGCCACGGGGTCAAGGGGTCGGTGAGGATCCGGGTCCTCCCCCTGGCGGGGGCTGGTGAAGGCGCGGACACGGCGGCGGGTACTCTGTGGCCATCGTCTGATTGCTTACACCTGGCCCCCGACGCCGTCGGAGGAGCGGAGGGCCGCGGTCCTCGCCACGCAGCACGCAGACCCCCCCCTCCGGAATCCCGGCCCACGGCCTGCTGAACGAGCCTTTGTTCTGAAGCAGCCTCTCCCATACTTTAAACCCAGTCGAGCTGCTTTCAGGCCTCACGGGTTTTAAGGACTCCTGGGCAGTCTGTGTCCCTGAGATCCACATAGAGGGGCTGAGGGGCCCACAGGCCTGTCCAGTACCCCCGCAGTTCGCATGGCCCCTGGGCCCCCGCTCCTCCAGCCCGGCAAGGCTGCACACTGGAGCTCTCTGGCCTCACAGGGCCCCCACATCTGTCCCCCAAGGGGCCTTCGGGGGCCCTGGGGTGCAAAATGAGGAACCCCATGCTCTGGTATTCATGTGGATCTCTGCTGCTTGGCGTGGCTAAGACTGTCCCGTGGGCACCCTGCAATGGGGCGGTGTTTGCAGGGACAGAAGCCCCTAAAAGGCAGGTGTGGGACCCCCAACCCAGGGGAGACCCTGCTCCCTCCTCACACTGAAGCCCCTAAGCAGGGGCTCCCTGGGGGTTGGGCACCCCAACCCTCTGTTTCATGCCTCTAGCCGCCAGCCCCTCACACGACTCAGGCACGGGGCCGACCGCTGGCCCTCACCCCCTCCACAGTAGACCCCCAATCCTAACAAAGCCGCTGCTCCCATGCACCTCAGAGCCCGCCCCTCTCCCCACAGGTGAGAAGCTGCTTCCGCATGGGAAGCGGGTGGGAAGGGTCTGACCCATGAGGAAACTGAGGCCCAGGGAGGAAGGACCTGGCCCAAGGCCACTCAGTGCCAGGGGACGGACAGTTGCTTCGGAGAGGTGGGGTGGCGTAAGCCAGGGCCGGTGAGCAGGTGCTGCCTGGAAGGCAGCTCTGTCACCCCCTCGGGAGAACCCAGCAGCGGCAGTGGCTGTGGTGAGGTCCGGCCTTTGCACGCCAGGCGCCTGGGTTGGGGATGTTCCTGCTTTTGGCTGGGTCCCTCACGGGGGCAGCCCTGGGGCCCCCTGGACACCTGCAGGTGGGAACAGCCCTGGGGCCCCCTGGACACCTGCAGATAGGGACACCCCTGGGTCCTGGCTGTGTGTGTGTGTCAGAGGTGCAGGTAGACCCTGGACATGACTGCAGTGAGAGTCCTGGGAGAGGGGAGACTTCGAGCTCTGGAAGGTTCTGAAGGCCACTGGGAGCAAGACCACGAGTGCCACTGGGGAACGAGGCCACCAGCCTGCAGCTGCAGCCCCAGCGTCCTGGGGGCGTTGTCCTGGAGCTTTGCAGGCGGGGGGGGGGTGTCAGCGACAGCTGGATGCTGCTGGACCCCTCGCAGAGCCCGAAGCCCCCGGGAGGGTACAGGCCCACGTTCCCCGCGAGCCCCCACTGCCCTGGCTGGGATCGTTCCTCCAACATGGACCCGGGGTAGGGTCCATTTCCTCCTCACGGGGCCTTGGGTCTGCACCCTCTCCTCTGGCCTCAGTTTCCTCATCCAGCCTACTGTGAGGCGTCACGCCTGGACATCCCAGGAGGGGGAGTGGTCTCTTTGCAGGACCCCCCACCCATGACGGGGCTGAGCAGCCTCCAGCATCTGCGTCTGGGTGGGGCCGGGGCACCCGGGTGGCACCTGCCACGTCCTCACCAGCCCACCTGCCCCAGCTGTGCAGGACCTGCCTGTGGGGCGGCCTGTTGATATTTGAGGTGAGTCAACACGGCCGCTGTCAACAAAGCTGGGCAGCCCCGAGGCTCGAAGGAGTCACAGCCCCAGCACCTGCCGCTGCCCTCTGCCCCCACCCCCGCCACCTTCCCCCGCAGCCTCTTACCTGGGCCGCCCTTCCTGGGACCCCGGGGCGCTGAGCAGCCGGCAGATGCCAGGAGGTCGCTCTCCAGCACAGGCTGCGTCTGGGACATGGAGCGGCAGGTGGACCCCGAGGCTGAACCAGCCAACCTGTCCCTCAGTCTTGGAGCCGGCATGGGGAGGGCCACCCTCAGGGGCCGGCCTGGGGCCCAGGACAGGCCTCTTCCGGGACTGCCTTTCCCGACGTCCTGGGGCCCCCAGCGAAGGAGGAGGGGCTGGGCCAGCTGGGGTGTCCTGGAGTTGGGCCTCTGTCCCTGGAAAGCCGGGGCCTGCTGGCTGCCGACTGGGTGTCCTGGGCCCTGGGGAGGGGGTGGGAGCCCTGGGGCTCATGTGACTCGGGGCGGGCCTGGGGCTGCAGGTGGGGGAAGGTCTCCCTGCAGCCTGTGGGCGAGGCAGCCAGCTGTGTCCCCGTGATAATGCCAGGGCCGGAGGCCTGCAGCTGCGCCCGCGACTTCCCCGACAGGAACCATCTGGGGCCCTGGCCTGCCCGGCCTTCCCTCGGGCCATTCCGGTCTGACTTTCCAACAACTTCCTCCTCCCAGCGGCAGCTCTGGTGAAGTCCCACCCACCGCGAGCCCCACAGCATGGCTGCTGGGCATGCGTCTCCTCAGCCTGGGCAGCTCTGCGCCTGGGGGCAGCTGCATCCCAGAGCCCCTCTTCCCACCGAGGCTTGGCCCGGGGTCTCCCCCTCTCCGCCTGCCCCAGCCGGACTTTCCAGCACCCCTTTTACATCACCCCACTCCAGGGCCCTCCCCGCGCATGTTCCTGTGGCCTTTGCCAGACGGGGCCTCTGACCAGCTGCTGGCGGTTCTAGGGCCCCCACCTGTCCTCACAGTTCGCCACCTGCTGGGAAGGACACCCTCTCTCTCTGCTCGGCCCCCTGTATGGGGCTCCAGGCCTCCGGGGGGCCTTGGACTGTACCCCAAGTCCCGGTGGCCTCCGGGGAGCAGCCTGGCAGCTCGGCCACGCTGCCCAGCATCCTGGAGTTTGCTGGGGGTCAGGGTGGGTGGCTCGTCTAGTCTGAGAAATTCCTGAAGCCGCCTCAGAGCCCTCCTGGGACCACTCAGACCCCAGGGAGAGTCCCAGAACCCATTTCTAGCGGCCGTTGGGTGAGAGGGAGGCACATCCCAGATGCTGGGAAAAAGCCACTCTCTGAAGGGCCCCGAGAACTGTCGGAGGGCAAGAGGGGCTTCCCGGGAGGGGACCATGACCCTCCGGCCCTGAGGCCTGGTTGGGTGGCGTTTCGGCTGCCGTGGCTGGAGGCTTTGTGGCCTCAGACCACAGGTGTGGAGCCCGCAGACTTGGCTGGTTCACGGGCATCCAAACTATTTTGATTTGATTTGATTTGATTTTTAGATCACGTCTGCACACAGTTAATAATTCGAACACGACTCCGTCAAAGCTGACTCCTCCACACGGTCTCCAGGTGTCCCGGGTGCCCCGTCCTGGTGTTCGGGTGTCCTTCTCGGAGTTGGTGAGGACAAGCAGCATTCTGGGGCCGTGTCCCTCTTAGAGTTGGGGTGTGTTCATTCCTACTGGGGTGCAAGGCCCGCCCAGGCCTCCCCTGCGAGGGGTGGTGGGCCGCTGGGTTCCCAGGACTCAGGCTGGAGGGGACCTTCCTGCCAGCCCGGGGTCTCCATGGGCCCCCATGTCCCCTTCTGTTCCTTGGCAGAAGGGTCTGGGGCCCTGACCCCCTTGGTTTCCTCACGTGTCCCGGCCCCAGCTCCTGTGGCCTTCCTGCTCAGAGGGCTGAGGGGCCTCACAGGCCAGGGCTGCTGTGATCACACGGCTTATGTGTCCGTTGGTGCCTGTTCCCCCGCCGTGTGCGGTGGGAATCTTGGGAGTCGGGGAACTGAGGGTCTCAGGGAGGCGCAGCCCCGACGCTGAGGCAGCAGGACAGCACCCTGGCTGGGGCCCGTGGCCGCCCCGCTGGGGTAGGAGACAGGCAGCCCCCCAGCCCTGAGGCAGATGTTCCAGGCCCACACCTGCAGCACCCCGACCAACCCGCAGATGGGACAGTGCCACTCTCGCAATGAGGCCCTGAGCTCCTGCCCGGCCTGTCCTGCCTGTGTTCTAACCAGGGGGTCTGACGGAGGTGGGGTTGGAAAGAGAAGAAATTTGGCTCAAGTCGGGGGACAGGAGCTGCCCCAACGTTGGCGGCCACCTGGGTGTGTGTGCGCCACTCCCTGCTCCCCGCTCCCCACTCCCCGCCTCCTCTCCCCCAGGCCGGGCAGTTGGTGCTTGTGGGGAAGCAGACGTTGGCTGTGGCTTTCAGAGCCGGGCCGGGAGATAAGGGGTGAGGGAGGAAGTGGCTGCAGAGGTGGAGGCGGCAGGAGGGGCGCAGCTTCTCCCGGAGCCCCCTGCCGTCTGCAGCCGGCACCCAGCCTCCCGGGGCATAAGGGGCCTTTCCTTCCTTCCTAAAAGACCTGTTGGGGCCCACACTGGGATTCTGCTGGTGTCTCAGACAGCCCCAGGTCCTGGCCTCTGGGAACTACAGAAGATGCATTCCATCAGCATGTCCACAGTATGGGCACCCTGCAGCTGGGGAAGCTGCCCCTGGGGAAGGACCATGTCCTCCAGGCAGAGAGGCCCTAAGGCAGGCTGCGGTGAATCTGCAGGATGGCCAGAGAGCTGGAGGGTGACACCCGGTGGGGGCGGGCGAGGAGGCCTTCCCTTCAGGCAGCGTGTCTTCTGTTTGCCTTCTCTTCCAGCATGTAGGATGCCCCCACACACCCTTTACCACTGGATAAATGAAGAGATTGATGAATGAACAGATGGGTGGATGAGTGGGTGGGTGGGTGGGTGGTGGATGGATGGGTGGGTGGATTGATGGGTGGGTGGATGGGTGAATGGGTGGGTGGATGGGTGGACAGATGGGTGGATGGATGAATGGGTGGGTAGGTAGGTTGATGGGTGAATGGGTGGGTGGGTGGATGGCGGATACATAGGTGAATGGGTGGGTGGGTGGAGGGTGGGTGGGTGGATAGGTGGATCAGTGAATAAGTAGAAATATGGTTTTATGTAAGTTTCATGCCAGCCCACTTTACAGAGGAGGGAGGAGGCCCACGAGGGTGCCATCCCCAGTCACAAAGCCTGGAGAGAGGAATGACTGGCCATGTCCTGCCTTGGCTTCCTGGTCCTGAATACGGTGTGGACAGTTGGGGTGAGCCACAGAGGGAGGGGGTGTTCAAGGCTGCCCAGGTGAAGCAGCTGAGGCGCAGGCTGGAGACACCCCAACGGGAGCCCTGAGCTGGAGTCGAGGTCTTCACCTTCCTGGCGTGTGGGCTCCTGGGGCATCTAGTAAATAAATGAGTTCACAGAATTACAAAGGAAACCCATTTTACCAAAGTAGAGTTGCCACCCTGGGAAGACATTCTGGCGCCGGGAGGGCTGTGCTTTTCATGAGCTGTGAATTGAAGCGGAGGGAGTGAGAACGGCGTTCTGAGGTATTGCAGTGTGTGGAAGACGAGGGGGTCTGTCGTGGAGCCCTGGACCCTACCAAGGTGTGGCCGCTTGGGTCCCACAAAAGTGGCCCTGGGGCAGCTCTCTGGTGTCACCGTCACAGGCACGGCTGACACCCCGGGGACGGAGGTGCCCATGTTCATGGTTAAAGGAAAGGATAAATTCTAGTTACAGACCCTACTCATCAGCATGAAACAACTTCCCATCCATGTCCACGGCTCCGCCGAACTCTGAGGAAGAAGCCACAGTCCCAGCTTATCTGGAAGGTGCCTCCCAGTCCCAGGTCACCACCCCCACTTCCGGGAGTCTCCGGTGGGACAGCCGGCCCTGTGAGGGCTCCACAGTCACACTCAGTGCTTCCTCTCTGTGCTGGGTGCACTTGGGCAAGTGTCTCTACCCAGTTCCTCAACTGTGAAGTAAGGAGGTGACGGTCAGCTGAATGGGGTGTGGTGAGGATTTAACAAAACAGTTTGGACTCTCGAATGGTGCCCGTGAAGGTGAGTGGGTGCCGAAGGGCAACTGTGACCCCTGCAAGGTCCCTGAGCCACGAAGGTGCCAGCCCAGAGGAAGAGCGGAATCCCCGCAGCGCCGTCTGGGCCTGCTTGCCTCCGGGGCGGGCCCGTGGCTGCTAGAAAGCTCTTTCTAAACGGAGCCCAGCTTGGCGTCCTGTAGATGTGGGCCTCCCCGGGAGAGTGCTCTGGAATGGGGAATCGCTCTCCCTGCCCCTGCCAGCCCCACCACCACCTCCTGGAGTCAGCCTCAGCCTCCCGGCTCTGTAGCCTCCCCCCTCCAGTGCAGAAGACCTGCTTCCATGGCAGTGTGGCCACCAAGCCCTCCTCTTAAACCTTCAGTGGCTGCCCATGAAGGCAGCTGGGGGCCCCGCCATACTCTGCCCACTCCGCACATCAGAGCCGCTTCTCCCCAGGGTGTTTCCTCAACTCTGGGCCTTCCCCGGCCCTCCCATAGAAACTTCCCTCACCTGGCGGGCTCCTACCCAACCCTCAGAGCCCTCAGGAAGTGCCCCTCCCAGGCTCCACGCCCTGCACGCTTCCATCCCAGCATTAGCACCTGGGGTTGCAGCTGCTGTGGGCTGGTTCCCTGGGAGCAGCCCCAGGCGGGGACCCTGCCTGTCTCCAGGACTGCATTCCCGGCACAAGGTGCAGGGCTCTGTGGGGTGACAGCTGGCTGGCGGAGTTCCCGCACACCCATCTCTGGCTGCCCCTCGCTGCACCGGGAACTTCTCCAGGGTGAATTCCACCTCTCCTGCCCTCAGGACTCCCCTGGGCTCTGCCCCCACACATCCGAGGGAACACAGAGGAAACAGCATCCCTCTGCTGCTTCTGAGGAGCAGGATGGGCTGAGTCTCCAGGCCACCCAAGGCCTGGGAGGCTCAGTGGCCTTTGCCCAGATGGGAGGGGCTTCCAGGCGGGCAGTGGGTGTGGGGCGGAGAGCCAACCCGCTGTGCCCTTGACTGGCATCCTCCCTCATGAAGGGCATGGGGCTGAGCAGAGACAGGAATCGGAGCATGGGACAGCAACGGCCTCACCCCCACTTCCCGAGCACCCTGGACTTGCCGGGACGCTGGTGACCTGGTGTCATCGGCTCGGCGTCTGACAGGACTGTGGGTCTTCCCGCCCAGAGGCCCAGGGAGGTTAAGCAATTTCCCAGGTGACCAGCAGTGCCCTGGGTGGGATTTGGGACCCAGGCTGACCGAAGGGCACTGAGGCAGCGAGCCCGTGGTGGTGACACCCACCCAGCTTCCAGGCCAGGGAGCCCCCCACCCACTGCAGTCTCTGCTCCTCCCCAGCACCCAGGAGGCATCAGGGCCGGGCAAGGCTGCCCCTTCTGCAGAACAGGAAGCTGAGGCTCCCAGAGGGGAAAGTCCCAACCCCCCTGGGGGTCCCAGGGTCCTAGGCGGCTGCACCCCAGCTGCAAAGGGGGAAGCCCCGCCTGGAGGCCACTTTCCCTGTAAGGATCCTGGGCGGGGTGAGGGCTGCGACGTCCCAGTGCCAGTCCGGTTTCCCTCTGACTCAGGCTGAGGTGGCTGCCT